TTAACACTTGGTTCTAAAGAAATACCAATGGGGTTGGCATTTGCTTCTGGCCTCTTTCCAACACGTTGGTGCATCGAAGACTTTGGACTCGTGTCCGTCAGAAGAGCGCTGCGCTGTTTGAGGTGCCACCCCAACAACTGGGCATAGCACATGAGCTACCAGAGTCATATTATCATCATATTTTCACCATATTTTCATCATATTATCATATTCTACAATAATAATAATAATCATCATCATCATCATCATGATCATCATGATCATCATCATTATCACATATATAAATATATACATACAACATAAATTACAGCATCATATGCTATATCATTGATATTGTATCATATATTTATCTCACATTTTTTGTGGTAATTGACGAAGAGAGACTCGGGGATGTTCCTTAGCCACCGAGGCCCACGGCAGAGACCCAGCAGTACCAAGAGGTGGCAGCAGAAGTGGTTCAGGTGCCACGGGGGGATGTTTGTTCAGCCCAGTAAGTAATGGTGGAACAAATGGTGAAAAACATGGTGAAACAAGGGTGGATAATAATTGTGGTATAATGGTCAATGATGCTATAAACCACAATGGTTTGCCAATGATTAATTGTGAAATAATGGTTATAATGACAATCATGAACGGTGAATATTTAATGGTTATGTAATAATGATTAATTAAACATGTGGTAAGTCCAACAATAAAAACAACCTACATCAACCTACCATTTGGGCATGGCTTTAACTCAACCCATAAAAGACAATCTCATGGTGATTTTGTCCCCGATGCCTGATGACTCATGCAGTGGTGGTGAAATCATTTGAGCTCGACCTCATAGCAATGTGACTTCAGGATGACCAGTTGTCATTTGGGGCACAGCCAACTAGTGCATGGACCCATCAAAGCAGCTGTTTTGGGATGGTACTCCAGACAATATCGGAAACACGTCATTTCTGTGGCCCCAAATATGTGATGTCATCAATGTCACCCCCTACTATACAGCATGATTTCTGAGGCGAGCTATTTCATTTTGGGAAGGGATTAGCACTTTTTGCACTCGTCAATGGCAAGGTGTAGCCCGACCCGGCCATCTTTCGCTGTGAACATATCCCAAAAGACGTGCCATTTGTGGATGCTGAGCCAAGGCCAGAGATGTGCGGAGCTGGATTTTGCCACCGTTTGAAGGGAAAAACAACCGTCACTGGTGGCGGAAGCCCAGAGACGCCACAACTGGATCCCAGATGCTGTGGGTGTGTCAAGGTGTCTGAACATGGGGTGTACCTCCAGCTGGCTATATGTTTATATTGAAAATCATGCAAGATCTTGATGAACCATTCAATTTTCAGACACACCCATGTCTGGACTTACCCCGAACATGGGCGAACTGTCAATATATGATATACATGAAGCATATGGGGATGGTGAACTCCATATGAGTCCAAGAGTATCCCTTGCAGAATTGCTGCCTACACAAATTCTATAAGAGCCAAGGGTATTGTCATTGGCGCTGTGAACCCCTTTGTGCGCGAATTTCCATGAGGAGGCGCTTGCACAGATTGGCGCTTTGGGAAACTCTCGGCAGCAACAGGCCATATATCACCACCAGTTCCGTTGGTTCTTCCAAGGATGATGACCCTGAATTGATGAGTGGCTCAACATGGCTCAACCGGCTGCCTACCAATCCTACCATCAATTGCTCGGGCCGCAGCCGATCAGCTTCACTTTAATTGATGTGACTGGGAGATTTGGCAACTGGCCAAGGCTAAAGGAACCACAAGAGGACAACAGATTCTGTAAACCTACTGCTCATTGCTAGGGTATTTCTTTTTGGGTGGAACAGGCGGCAAAACCGGCAAACAACAAGAGAACAGCAGAAAGATCGGTTTTTCCCATGTTTTTCCTTTCAGCTAAGCCAAGCCACAGTTGACCGCAAGCACCGGCCCCACGTTTTTCCACAGATGCATCGGTGAGTGCAGGGCTTGTGGAAACATCGAGTATTGTGAAATCAGGCCGTGGGTGTTGAGGTGGAGCGTGGTTTTTCAACGTGTTTAATTCCTTATTGTCAATGTATGTCAACGTCTTTGTTGAGTATGAACAGTATACCTAATGATTCATCACTGTTTTAGCATTTACGAAACTTATTATGTTTATGTTTAATCAGTTTTTACCAATTCCTGATGTTTTTATCATTTTCTTAATTAATACCATTTGGTTATTTGTTACATAGCCATGGAAAATCCCCATGCTATTAATAGGTAAACCATCTATTTCTATGGGCCATTTTCTATGGCTATGTAACAAATTACCAGAGGGTAAACGAAGTTCCTAAAATGTGTCGAGAAAGCCCAGGCGCCATGATCCGGCCAGATTGCCTGGTGGCCTTGAGCGCCCTACATCCGGATCCCTCAGCCAAGGTGATGCAGGCTGAGGGGCTCCCAGGAATTGGGATTATACCCTCTGGTAATTTGTTACATAGCTATTGAAAATGGCCATAGAAATAGTGAGTTTTCCCATTAAAAATGGTGATGTTCCATAGTTATGTTAGTTTACCAGAGGGTAATATGTATTATAGTTAAATATATATGTATATATATATCAATGGATTGGTTTAAGGGAAAATTTGCTGGTTTAAGCCCCATATTTAATGGGGAAATCCATGGTTTCCTGTAGATTTTCCCTTAAACCAATCCAATGAATATAGCATTATTTACCCATGTAATTATATGATATTGAGATAATTGGGACAACTATTATAATATCGTCAGATATCCTTAATAAGTATATGATATATCTATAAGTATGATAATTACATCTAATTATGTATAATTATGTAATTTTATTATATGTAATTATATGTAATTATGTCCAATCTTATGTACAATTATACCAATGACTGAACAATATACTGTATTATGATATGAGGGTAATTATGATATATTCTGGTACTTATGACTGACAATAGGCCATCAGAAGCCCATGATATGCAGGGGGTGAACCAACTGGCGAGAGCTAGGTCAACTGTGGTGAAACAGCAGCTGACTGCAGCTGACTGCAGCTGACCATTGATTGTTGGATTATTGGGGAGTCGCCGGCAATTGCTCTTGAGTTTGCTTGCGGAAGGTGCTTCACAACCACTTCTTTGAGCATGTTTTGAACTATTGATCTTGCATTCTCTATGACTCTATGGCGTGCAATTGTTGCCTTACTGGTTTGAACTACGGATAAAGTGTCACGAGTCACAACTGTTCAGAGTCACAACTGTAACTGTTCATGTCCAGTCGCAAACTGCAAACCATCCTATATTGCAAATGATTATTTATATGTATGATATACTGGAAATGATACATATGAAATAGAACACGCATAAATTTATTTATTGACACATATTTACATATACAATCATATAATCATAATCACAATTAATCACATACGTAGTGTAACATTACATGCAGAACATAGGCTGTGAGGCTTATTTGCCACTGGGATGCTCCCAGCGCGACTTTCCATGGCAGGCCTTGTCCGTGTCCTCGTTGTATAGCGTGGCCTGGGGCTAAGGGGCCGAGGGTGAGCACACACCGAAAGTTGATGGGTTACTATATATCTAATACATTCTAATACTATGTACTATGTTATTTGGATTTATTTGGTACTTTACAATACTTTATGACTGATGACTTTATGATTCTTTATGATTATGAATTCTTCTGTGGCGGGGCCTTTTCTGGCTTTTTTTATGCAAAAGGGGCCGCTTTCACGAAAGCTCCAAATGTTTCCCCCGAAGCTCGGCCCCGAAAAGAGAGGCTGATGGTTTCACGGAGGATGAGCAGCAAGCCATTCGCGATTTCAGGCGACATACCCCCTGGTAAACTAACATAGCCATTGAAAATGGCCATAGAAATAGTGAGTTTTCCCATTAAAAATGGGGATTTTCCATAGTTATGTTAGTTTATCAGATGGTAATGTTTGGAACTGGGAATCCACAGGAATCCCAGGAGCACTACATGAGCACTACGTATTCACATGAATTTTCACTGTCTCAGTCTGGGGCCCTGGCAAGTAAGACTGGGCACTGCAACACCAAAGTTGTTTAGGTGTCCACGCTTCCCCAAATGTGGCATTTTCTGAAAGATGTTTGCAGATGCGAGCTCGCAAAGCATCGCAAAGCTGTGCCAGACAGGAGCGAAAAGAAAAGAATGGCGTGTTTTTTTTTGTTAGGTGAGTTTGATCTAGTTTGAAGATGTTTTGAATTATCATCTTATGAGGTTACTCGGTGGTTTCAACGATGTGGCCGCCATTTTGGGTCTCTTGGTTGAGATGAAGCCCAGTCGTGTTCGGTTGTGTGCGAGATTGTAGTGTTGGAGATGCGGGAAAGATTTCGTCATGAATACATGTTGAAATGGTCGTTACCATCTGATGTTTGTTGCTTCCAAATATTTGTTTTTATCACCATGAACTATAGGGACATACCATAAAACCAGCAGTTCAATAATATGAGCAACCGATTGCCATAAACCTATACCATTTAGGAATGATTGCTACCAGCCATTTGTAGTGATTTTGGGGGTGATGTATTGGTTTAGAACGTTACCATAGTTATTTCAACCAACTTAGCTGGTCCCTTGGTCAGGGCAGCTGCTCGGTCTTGCTATGCCAAACTGGGCCGCTGGGTCGCAGAACGGCACGGCGAAGCTGGCGGGGGATTGGGCAAGTTCAGATGTTTGGGAAGAGATGTGTCTTATATAGGGGATGAAATAAGATGAGAACATTGAGAACTTCGGCACTTCTGAACTACATGAGTTGGTGAGTGCCAGCCCCATGTCTTTCCAGCCTCTTTGATCGATCGAGCGGTGCCTTGAAAAAGCATGATCTAAAAATATCTTAAAATATCTTAAATCACATGACCAGATAGAAAAAACCAGCCGCTATAGCCATCAAACCCTTGCTGTTTTAATGGTGTGAAGTGCTCTTCTTTTCTGTTGGGCGGGGACAGCTGAACCGCTGGGGATGCCATGGCCATGCGATCCATCGCTATGGCGCGACGCTGGCGCCCCGCGGTCGTGATGGAATTTGGGCTGCGCCGCTGGGGCAAATGCGGCAAAGTTTTGTGATAGTTGGTGAGTTTGCCAGTTTCATTGGGTTGCATATATATATAGTAAGTACATGTATTTACATTCCATAGTTTTGAAGCTTTACCCATCTTTCCCCATAAAATGCAGCATCATTATGGGCTTCTTTATAAACTGGGGAAATGGACGACTGGAACCAGCAAGGGCAAGAGAAACAGGTCTTGTTTGGCAGGTATATCAATCATATTATTGTTATATATATATATATACATTATATAAATATAAATTGCTTTTGTACATGAAAAGATGTGTGCCAAACATGGCTTGACCACACGTGCTTCGAGGCTCCTTCCTTCGCGTACAGCGTGGAAGGCTGCCCTTGCTGCGCTGCGCTGCTTCCGCGGCCCAGGCGCAGCCTGCGGAGCTGCGGTGCGGGGAGGATGGGGATGTGGCCTCCAAAAATGGCACAATCTCCCCAATTAACGAAGACCCTGAAAATCCATGAAATTCACCACTTTTTTGGGAAGTAATCTGATGTAATCTGTAATAAAATCACATCTCCGCAAACATCAACTATCCTTTGCAAATGGGCCTCTAATTCATGAATACACCCAATAGTAAAGCATGTTTTCGTTTGCGGGTATTTAAGAAGAGGGGTGACCATAGGTGACCATGTGACCTCAGGTGGAGAGAGCTAGATTATTTATCACGAAAGGTAGCGTCAGCTACCTGAGTTCTCCGTGCTTCAGCACAAGCTTAGGGGGTATTGGGGGGCCAGCCCACGGAATTCAAGGAATTCTCGCCGTTATGTATTGGATATCAATTATAAGGGGGGGGGGGCCCCCGAAAATGGTCATGGGTTCAATTCCCACGGGTGACGCGGTCACGGGCCCCCACATTAGAGGCACACTTTCCATGAGGGAGATGTCCCTGTAGTCCAGCATTGGTATGCTTCAGCCTCAATAACAGTTGCTCAAGGGGTCTTAAAAAGGGGTTTTAAATAAACCCCTTTTCGTGCATCATTTCACGCTGCACAAGACACCGTATCATGCAGTCATGCTCTGGATAAAATCATCTTAGACTGCGCAAAAACGTTTTTGGTGTATCATCTTAGGGGCGCAGCATTTTGACACCACTCCTCTCCCACTACACTACCTTTCGTCCGCCTCCGCCTGCTCTCAAGTATTAATTACAGGGGTTAGCAAGAAGCAGGGGATTAGAATATGAGGATTCAGCCAGATTATTAGATACTTATTTGCAAAACAACACTAAGATTGAAACATACTTGTTGTATGTTGTTGTTTGATCTTAATCAATGGAAATTCCAGGATCCTAAAATGGAGGTACGTTAGTACCATATTTCAGGCCATATTTTGTGGGGATCCTGACATGGCCATTGATCTTAACTTTCCATGAATTCTCTTGTGAGGACGACCGATCACAGGACATCGACTGGTCCTCCTGGCGGGCTGGTGGTTGGCAGCTCACAGCTGAGAACTTCCGGCGAAGTCCACTGGGCGCGTATTGGAAGGCCCTGGGCCATCCTGGGCCCCGTAGATCCCCATAGAGCATGGGATACTACCCTCTGGTTATGTCAAAATAGCTATTGAAAATGGATAAAATGGCCATTTATAGTGGATTTTCCCATGAATAGCATGGTGGATCTTTCCATAGTTTTTTGTTAACGTTTACCAGAGGGTATGGGTTGTTAGGGGAACATGGGGATAGAATGGATAAACCACCGGAAAATTAAGAGCATGTTTTCTTTGCACAAAGCCACAGCTCTTTATTTGCACAAAAACCACAGGTAGTATGCACTAGAACGATGCTTATTGAATCAAATACTGAAGTGTCGTAGCGGTAATAGAAAGAATTCAGATTCAATCCACCGGCCAGTCATCATGGCAATGGTCCACTCCTTGGCAGGTGATTTTAGAGTGGGTTGTTGGGATATCGTATGGTTGTCGCTTGAAGAACTAGAAACGAAATGAAAAGTGCTGGATCAGGATTTCCCTCTACGTCCGGAAGGCATCCAAACCCAAGAAAACCAATGGAGTGTTTTTGTGTTGCCTTGCGTGAGTGAAGATATGCCACGGTGTTTGTTTCTTGGGATCTCTCCAAGTGACTTAAGTGGGGGTCCTGTGATGTCCTGTGTGACCACCAGGATGTTCCCAAGCATCCTTTGGCCGCCGATGATTTCATGGGTCGTCGCTCAACTTTGCATGGCAATTTGCTTTGCTGCCTAGGTAAGGTGTCCAAGGCATTCGGACCTTTCGTTTCAGTCTTCATCAACTCCACTGCCTGATTTCTATCGTCAGAGAGGGAGGTTTTTCTGGCCAAAAGGGGCCTTGACGGGCCCCTTGGGGGAGTCGCATTCTCCTTGATGATCTTCATGGGTCCAGTCGCCATTTCAGGACAAGCCATATTCTCAAAGCTGATGGCTTTGGAGCCAATCTCCAAGATCTTCGGCCCTTCTCAGATCCATGGCCTGCCTACGCGGCACTTCTTTTGGGGCTGCATGGCTTTGTGGACCCCGGTGGGCCCCTGATCCAAGGCATCCAAGGCATCCAAGGCCACAAGGTGTTGGGAGGGAGACAACTGATTTCCATGTCTATATGATTTTCATAATCTAAATAAACCAATTACTTTACTTCGTGTGATCCCCACCATGACATTTATAGATTTTCTTACTGGCAAATCTTCTGGCATTCTATCTGACATATCTTCTGGCATTCTATCTGGCATATCTTCTGGCATATCTTCTGACATATCTTCTGGCATTCTATCTGGCATTCTACCTGGCATATCTTCTGGCATATGTTCTGGCATATATTCTGACATATCTCTGGCATTCTATCTGGCAAATCTTCTGGCGTTCTATCTGGCATATCTTCTGGCATTCTATCTGACATATCCTTGCATCCACTTAGCGGCATTACGGTATTACAAAAAAAAATTGCCCTTACACGAGAAAGTTACTTACACGAGAAAGTTACTGAAACGAGAAATAAAAATAAAAAAGTGGAGTAGACAGCTTCTTTTAAGAAAGTGTTTGTAAAAGGAATGAAGGAGAAGGAAGCATATAAACCAAAAGGAGTGCTAATGTCTCCATGGGTGAAATATCAGATTGCGTGTGCTCAAATTTTAATGCATGTGTGTGCCGGCAGTGACAATGTCATGTCTTCCAACAACAAGAAAATAGCTTCAATCATCGGTCCACGCATTTTTTCTCTTGGGCAAACGAGGATTCCAAATATCTACAGCAAGTTTGGTTTGTGCAAGCCACAAACAGGTGAATTAAAGATGGGTTCCCATAGATTTTGAAATCATATGAATTAGACTCGAATAGGCTGAAGCAGCCATGTGCTGAAGCAGCCATAGCTTGGCCGAAGCAGCCATAGCTTGGCCGAAGCAGCCATAGCTTGGCCGATGCAGTCAAAATGCTACTTCTCATCACTTTGTTTTTTCTTTTTCATTCATCCACTTAACCCCTTTTCTTCTCACAATTTCGATCCGCATAGTGGAAGCAAGCTTGCTTTCCGATGGCCATGTGCTGGTCTGAAGCAGCCTGTACTTCTGGTACAGCTTTTCCACATGGAACCTTTTGAGAAGATCCCTTTGGATGACTTTGGCATCAGGCTTAGTGACTACACTGGGGTTGCCACGTCATCGTGGAAGTTCGGGCGGCGGCATCATCATCAGCATGGTCATATGTAGTTTAAGCCTAGAGCCTAAATGTGCGAGAAACCGCAAATGATTATGTTTCAGAACATGTACAGCAAACATGAGACAAACCGACTCAGGACATCCCCCTAAGAGAGTCGACACTTTTACCTTTCAACGCAGTCATATGTAGTTTAAGCCTAGGCCTAAATGTGCGAGCAAACCGCAAATGATTATGTTTCCAGAACATGTACAGCAAACATGAGACAAACCGACTGACAACAGGACATCCCCCTAAGAGAGTCGACACTTTTACCTTTCAACCTGTCATGTTTGTGGGAAATTAAAAGCAGCTTTTTTTTCGATCCCGCATGGAAGGCACAATCAAAACTGCCTATAGGTCCGAAGTGCCTATGTCGCAGCCACATCGTCGCCTATGGCCGAGGCAGCCACACGGCCGATGCAACCGTGGTATGGCCGATGCAGCCACGTCGTCTCGTCTATGGCCGAGGCAGCCACATCACTTGTCTCCATTGTCCTCTTCGTCGTCATCGTCGTCGTCTCCCAAAGGATTCCAGACGTCGTCTTCTTCATCTTCGTCGTTTTCCTCTTCGCCTTCCTCCTGCTCATCCTTTGTTTGCTTGGCTTTGGCTTTTGCCTTAGCCTTTGGTTTGGCCTTTCCCTTGCCTTTGGCCTTTGCCTTTACCTTTGCCTTTGGTTTTGCGGTCTGATTCACAGGTGCCTGCCCACTGCCACCGACGGCTTCACTGTAAGCTGACGAAAACAAGCTGGACTCAGGGTTTGTCATTTCTTTTTCAAGCAATGCAAGCAGCCGGTGGTGCTCTGGGTTGAAGGCAACTCCTACATACCCTATACCCGATTTCGCAAGGCTGCCCAAGCCATGCGGCCGTCCAGAGGTGTCAGATCGATAATGATCTTCGCGAAAAGTCGTGGATCGACTCGTCGCAGAGCTCATAGGACTGTGGTAGCAAACTGGCTCCAAGACCGAACCAGTCTGTGAGGTTATATTCCAGGCCGAAACAGCCTGTGATTGCAGGCCGAGGCAGCCTGGAACGTTTCACGGTTTAAGCCGAAACAGCTTTTACACACGGAAAAGCTTGTGAGCCGAAAACAACGAGAAACGACTTGAGTGAGGCTTCTAAGGAGGGGACTAACAGTTCTCTCCTTAGACTGACAGCAGCGAAGTGTGTAAGGAGAGGGCTGTGAGAGGACTATTCGAAAAAGGTTGTTTTGCCCTAAGGAATTTTATTCAATAGTCCTCTCACAGCCCTCTTCTTACACAGCTCACTGACGAAGGCCCAAGGCAGCCAGCTTGGCCGAAACAGCCAAGCTCAGGCAACATGACGACCTGTGACGACCTCTCCTTACACAGCAGGTTTTTGGTTAAACATGCTGTGTAAGGAGAGGTCATTTCGTCCTCTCCTTACACAGGTAGGGGACGTCCCCGATGCTCGGTTGGAGAGGACAAACAGAGGACAACAGCTTGTAAAACCGAAACACTTAGTAGTATTACACATTCGTCCTCTATTCGTCCTCTCCTTACACAGCTAGGGGACGTCCCCGACCTTCGGTTGGAGAGGGCAAATCGCCCTCTCCATAGGATAGGGTTTTTGATTATATCCCTTAGGAGGTTAGGGGACGTCCCCGAATTAGAGTCTTAGGAGGTTAAGGGATGTCCCCGAATTACCCCTTAGGAGGTTAGGGGACGTCCCCGAATTAGAGTCTTAGGAGGTTAAGGGATGTCCCCGAATTACCCCTTAGGAGGTTAGGGGACGTCCCCGAATTACCCCTTAGGAGGTTAGGGGACGTCCCCGAATTAGAGTCTTAGTAGGAGGTTAGGTTATAGTCTTAAGAGGTGACATCCCTGTAATTCTTAAGATGATTTTTAAATATATGTCAAAATCCCTTATTACATAAAAAAGAAAATATCCCCCTTACCAGGTTAAAGGACCTTTGAATAGTAAACAGTAAACATGTTACATATTTTCCCCTTTTTGGATTCAAATACTCTTTGGTGGTTTCAAAGTCTCTTCCACAACCTGGTCCCAAGAAGGCCACAGCAGCCACTATTTTCTAAGAGAGTCTGTCTTCTCGAAACCCTTGCTGGCCGAAACAGCCAGGCGATTTGGCCGAAGCCGCCAAGCTTCTGTGGCTGAAGCCTGAAGCAACCACTTTTTTCAAAAAAAGTTTCGGGCAGGCCGAAGCAGCCTGGCAACGAGCAGGCCGAAGCAGCCTGACTACGCCCTTAATCTCAAGCCTCGGCCGCAGCAGCTTGGGTGAGTTGAAATACCCAGGTGGCTCCTGAGCAGTGTCCAACCCTCAATCGATTGTCCACTTCTGACCTCAAGTTTGGCAGCATTGGCTGATTGTCTTCTGTATTCAAACTCAAGTGTGCTGACCTTAATATTTCACAGCTTGCCATTTCATCTGCTGCTGCATCAGCAGCGAGTGCCACAACTCTTGACCGCAGGTGTTTAAAAAGATTTTTCTTCAAACGCCCAGGATTCTGACTAAGAGGAGCCATATAAAATCTAGAGCAAGCACGCTTCATGACTGCCCATGTGGCTAAGGAGACATTGGCAGCTCCTGTTCCAGCTTGCCTTGCTTGGCCTAAAAAGCCACTTCGAGTTGTCAAGTCTGGGGCCACAGCCATGAATCGTATGGCCAACCGCCCATGCCGCTCATCCCGCATCAAAGAAATGTGAGAAGATTTCGCAATGAACGTTTGGTCCAAAGCTTTTAACCCCTCTGCCAAACACCATGCCATTTGCAGCTCTTTTTGCGTCAATGATCTTTTCTCGCCAAAGCACTCCATCAGCTCTTGAAACTGACTCAATGCCAGGGCTGCATCGGGACTAGGACCAACACAGCCCCCTTCCTTCAACCATTCCTTCACCGCTGCCTTGCGCGCCTTGCTTTTATGGTGCTTCATCAAATTGCAGTTCTGCAGTTGGCCCTTCTTGGTCATTGAATAAGAAGCGAAAGGATTGGAAACCCCAGTTTCCTGGCACACTTTACAACCAACACCCCAAGGTTGCTGCTTCACATCCAACCATGACCCTAGCTCTGGCTGGCCATCTGAGACGAGGAACATGTTACACCATTTTTTGCCCGAACTACGCCATCTGAATTTGGCCCCGGTTTCCAAGCTTGACATTGCTACCGTGGCCGAAGCAGCCACTAAAATGGCCGAGCCAAGCCAGTACCGCGGCCGAAACAGCCACAATGGAGCGGCGCATCTTAACCATTGAGCCAAAAGAAAACGAGAAAAGAAAATAGTCATGACACTTGTTAAAATATCTAGCCGGGCGTCTATACGAGAAATTTCCTTCTGCGGACGTCGCCAGGCAGAGAACAGAAAAGCTGTCCCACAATAAGTGTGTCAGAAGAAAAATGTGTCATATACCACAACTAAGGAAAATTGAGCTGAGAATTCTAGTAGAACGCATGTGGCATGGTTTTAAAAGTCATGAAGGTTTTTGTAACAAAGTCTGAAAATACAAAGCGACGAGTTCTGAAAATAACTTAATTTTGAAAAACCAAAACGAGAAAATATCTCCAAAGCCCCATTTTTTTTTGTAATACCGTAATACGCTTAAGTGGATGCAAGTATCTTCTGGCATATCTTCTGGCATTCTATCTGGCAAATCTGATGCATTCTATCTGGCATATCTTCTGGCATTCTATCTGACATATCTTCTGGCATTCTATCTGGCATATCTTCTGGCATATATTCTGACATATCTTCTGGCATTCTATCTGGCATTCTATCTGGCATTCTATCTGGCATATCTTCTGACATTCTTTCCAACTTTCTTCTGCACATTCTTTGTCCCATATCTTCCTACATGAGGTCCGGCGGGGAACACTTGGCGTGGATACTCGCGGTTGAGGTCCGGCAGGGAACAGTTGGCATGGATCCTCGCGGTTGAGGTCCGGCAGGGAACACTAGGCGTGGATGGTCGTGGTTCAGGTCCGGCAGGGAACACTGGGCCCGGATACTCGCGGTTGAGGTCCGGCAGGGAACACTGGGCGTGGATGGTCGTGGTTGAGGTCCGGCAGGGCACACTGGGCGTGGATGGTCGTGGTTGAGGTCCGACAGAGAACACTGTGGATTGCGGGTCGCAGTTGGACGAGGAGGACGACGAGGAGGACGACGAGGAGGACGACGAGGAGGAGGAGAGGAGATGAGGAGAGGAGAGGAGAGGAGAGGAGAGGAGGAGCAGGCAACTGACATAAAATCTAACAACCCTCACCTGGCAGGTGGGGAAAAAAATCACTCCAATTGGGGTTCATTATCGGGTATACACCTATTAATGCATAATTAATTTTATTGTAGGTCTATTATGACATCTACTTATAACAAAATGCAGTAGACGTCTCACATAGGGGGATATATACCCCACATTCTCCCCCTAGAGACGTCAAGACTCAGGTTACAGCGCTCAGCTGGACTGGCAATGGCGGACGGGACGCCTGGGGGATGCCAACGGACGGATCAGCAGCGACAGTTGGTTTGGGGCGATGAACTACTCCTTATGCCGCTTGGTGGGTTGACATACTATTTATGTGGACATATTTTGACATATGACTTAATGGCACCCCGGGGAAAGGAAAGATGCGGATGAGTAAAATCATGTAAAATCCATTAAACAAATCATGGCAAATGACTGTTCTATCCATTTTGGGGGGGAAGTTGCTATAGTTACTATATATATAATATATATAATATATATTATATATAATATATATAATATATATAATATATATATATATAATATATATAATATATAATATATATAATATTGTTGTGATTTTAAGATGATGATGATGATGATGATGATGATGATGATGATGATGATCCAGAAATTGCCTTCTGGGGCGCTCAGGTGTGGTTCCTTTGGCTGCCGCTCTAGATGCTGGCCTTGTGTCCACTAAGGAGGTAGAAAGCGTTGACCTTGGGCTGAAGTGGGGTAGTGAATGGTGGTGAGATTATGTAGCAGATATATGCAGCAGATATAAGTAATTAACATTGAGCTGTTTAAGAGTGATATGGGTTGCAAGCGAAGTACTGAGACAGCCCAAAATGATCAAAATGGATAGATCATGATACTGTTCTAAGTGACTTTTCCATGCCTTTCCTGGCGTCAGAGGGCCCAAAAATTGGATCCGGATTTATCCAATCGGAGGGAAACCTATCGATGATCATCGGTTGCCACTGGATCGATTCTCCCAGGATTTTGAGGAAGCCGAGCGAAAGGAGTTTGCAGCCGCCCGAGCAGAATGGGTTCGTTTCTGGAGATCTTTGCAGTCACGAGCAAAGGAGCCAGAGCCCTTGACCACAGCAGCTTGGAATCGGCGAAGTTACTCAGTAGCGTAGCTGGGGGATCTCCTTGTGGGCGTGGGCTCACAGTGTTGGCATCTTGCTATATCTATCTATATGTTGTTAATTGAATCTGGTTTGGCAAAAGGGTTCCAAAACGACTTGAGAATGTAATTGGATCATGTGCTTTAAAGAAAACAAATTTTAAAGACATTACCTGACTATTTGGTTCCAAAGTCCAAAGTTTTCTTATGTTTTTTTCTACTCCTAATTCGCATGCTTGACCCCCATTGCTGGTGGCCAGCATTTGGCGCATGGACATGTGGCCCTCCTCGCTCCATCCCAGTGTCCCAGCTTCAAGCCACAAATGTGTCATGTGATAATCATGTGCTAATTATTGTAGTATAATTATGTATAATAATGTATAATAATGTATAATAATGTATAATAATGTATAATAATGTATAATAATGTATAATTGATATTATATTGATATTATATTGATATTATATTGATGTATATGGGAGTTGAGTTTGCATATTTTGCATGAGGAAGAGCATGACAAGCTCCGTGCCCACGTTTGGACTTGTCACATGAGTTCCCTGCACGCAGCACGTCCGTTGTATCAAGCGCTCCTGGAGCCTTTGCCACTGGATGAGCGACGCTTCTGCGAAGGATGGACCTGCTTTGTTGATTTGTTAGCAGCTGCTCGGCACGCAAAGTGGGCCGTTTTGTGATGTCATGTTGGTAGTAGGACTGTGGGACTTACCATTCCTAAATGTACCGGATGTTTTCATGTTTTCTCGATGCTGAAGTGCTAAAAAAACGTCCTGCCGCATGCTGCATGGAGATGTGGAGACAAAAGGCTCATCAATTCATATCAATTCAATATCTTCAATGATGAGTGCAGTTGGCAATTACCATGATCCTCTCAGGGATTTTTGATGATTTTTGCACCCCATTTTGGTCGAATTTGGGATGAAGGATAAATAGCATCCCCAGCATACAAGAATGGGAGGTAGTGATGAATCCCAAGTGGGGGGTTCAGCTCTTGTAATGTCAGCAGCCCACTGCCAGGCCATTCGCTTTCGCACTGACTTGGAGCCCTTCTGTTTGCTTAGCACTGCGGGTTCTGGCATTTCTTCCAAATGCTCAAGTTTGAATCCGCGGCAAATATCTCCACATACTGTCAGAAGCAATTTGGAATGTTTTCCATCTTTATGTGACATTTTTGGTAGGGGATTGCTGGTTGATGAAATACCCAAATTCGCCGCGATGCCCCTGCTCCACAGCAGTCCAACACAAAAGCGTGCAATCTTTGTATTTCTTCTGGGTCAAGAAGGAGATACCCTCTGGTAATTTAAGATAGCTATTGAAAATGACCATTTATAGTGGAATTTCCCATTAAACATGGTGATTTTCCATAGTTATGTTAGTTTACCAGAGGGTAACACATCAGATTCTTGGAACCCTATACCCTCCACCCTGACTTCATTTCTCCCCTCAGGACTTTCTTTTCACCACGGGTGCTGGCTACCTGCCACTGCAGTTGCCGGAGGACATTTCCAGGCGCCATGCGCTGGACGTTCAGGACTGGGAACTGCAGCGGATGCGCCAATCTACCAAGGTCGCGCACTCCGGACTGCAATGCTTGGGCCTGGGGTGGCCCTGGTGGCTGGGGGGCCTGAACACGGGCTTTTTAAGTAGAGGTTTGGATGAGATTCTTTAATGGGGAAGCGAATCTTTCGGATCTTTTGGCATGTTAAGGAGAGCCCGCTGAATATGTTGTATAGTTGGTTTTCATCCAATGCTTTCGCATCTTTGGATATGTGTGTGTGCGTGTGTCAGATGGATATTGCTTGGTGTCAGATGGATTTTGCTTGGGCAGTCTCAATCCAGGCAGCACTCTTCATCCGGGCTTCCCTCGACACATCTCGACACTGAGGCAGCAAGTGGGCAGAATGAGCCGCTCGGAGTTGCCATCTCAGGCCCCGGGTAGGAGATTCCCTGAATTCCACACCATTTGTTGTTTTGTTTATAAAGGTATTTGATGGCATTTGACATGCCATTTTTGGAGAGAGTTCCTTGGGTTCAGACCCAGGTTCCTACAGTCTCAGTCTCTTGGTTTCGCTTTGGCGCCGCGCCACCCGACGCTTACACCGCCGGGAGCGAGCACATGAGATCGTGCAAGAGCTCGGACGACCTGAGGTGAAACCTCAGCTGATGGTTGCCTGGTCCCTTTACGTTCCTTTGTTTTGGACCAGACAATCTGGGGAGCGTGTTTAACGGGTCGGTTGAGGTGAAAATTATCCTGCAACCAAAGGCGCTGCAGCAAAGATGTTTTTTTTGGGGGGGTTGGGGCCACATATTCCATTTCAATTGCACTTCTCCAAAAAGTTATCCATCTTTCTTTCATGGTGCAGAGCACGCTGAGGCAATCCTGCGGCTACTGGGCTGGTTTGTGTGGCCATGAATGGGTTCATTCCTCGAAATCTGGTGCAATCCACGGCCTCAGCTGAACAGGTCCCTTCTGCGACGGAAAAAATGGAGCGGTAGACCTTGGTTGGAGGTTGGGTGTGGCTCTGAGTTCCACTTTTTGGGTCCGTGCATTGAAATGCCATTATCAATCCATTATCTATCACTATCTTGATCCTAAACAATTCAACAAAGCACGGGGAAAAGGCTACATAAATGATGGTCAAAAGCTGGTGGACGGAAGTTGTATTTTGATCAAAGGGGAGGGTCAGCCTCGGATATAGGATGCCAAGGTGGCCTGCTATTTGGTTTGGACGTTGCCCAGCCATTTGTTGCCACCTCAAGAAGGATCCGAAACGGCATGCCCGGCACCAAGGAAAGCAGGCTCGGAACCAACTGCTGGAAGTGGGAGAGTCTCAGCTGTGGAATCTTTAATGGGGCCAAGGGAGAGCAGAACACCAACAGAAATGATGTTGTCATGGTGAAACTATTGATGCACGTGGATACAATATGATACAATAATAAGCTAGATGAGGAAAGGTTAATTAAATTGGCTTGCTTTCAAGAATCAAGCATGAACCTCCTGACAGCTACCAAGTGTTGCTCATTGGGGGGCCCTGATGACTGATGACGCAGCATATTCCAGCTTCAACGTAGCTTGGTAGTTCTCAAACGACATGGAACGACTGGGTCAAACAAGTTGTTGGCTTTCCATCCTCCCTGGTGGAAACCACCCACCCGGATGTTTTGGGGCTTTTTGGTTGGCCTAGGATAGCATGTTCGGCGCGAACAACGCTGCGGAAGATGCGGAAAAAAACCATGATGAGGAGCTGGCCACAACGTGGCCAGTGATGGGGCTCCACCGTGAGCCATCACTGGGACATGAGCCTCCAATTCAGAGACATCTATTTGTTACAAAACATTTGGACATATATGTGATAGCAAATTTATTTGGACAAAGTGTATTGGTGCATATTGGTGCCAACCATTGCCAACGGCATCCAATTGTCACGTTCGACATGTCGGGGCTCCTGCCGCCTAGCGTGGAAGCCTGCCAGGAGCTCGAAGCCATGAACAGCTTCTGGGAAAGTGCCACCAAGTCCTCTGTGGGCTGGAGCCCCTAGGGGCGATCCTGCATTGGGATCATCAACCTCACAATCAACTCCTGCGAGTCTAAAAAAAAGCTGTAGCTTGAATTGATTTAGAGTCCGATAGTAGGTCCAATCAAGTCAAATCTTTTAAAAATGTAGTTACTGTAGTCCAATGATTGTCAATGATCAATCATCAATATTACCCTCTGGTAAACTAACATAACTATGATACTATGGAAAATCACCGTTTTTAATGGGTAAATCCACTATTTCTATGGCCATTGTCAATAGCTATGTTTGTTTGCCAGAGAGTAATTGCTCTTGATCAATGATTGATCTTCGCCATAGAAATCAGGTGCGTCCAGCCTGGAGGAGGAATACGACCTCAGAAGAGGTCCAGCGAATTTTATGGAAGGACCCAACTGGAAAGCCCAAGTCAATGTTGTACAAATATATATATATATATATATATATACATATATATACATATACATATATATACATATATACATGAATATACATATATATCTACATATATATATATATATATACATTGTAATTTGTATATGTTTATCATGGCATATCATGATGTATCTACATAGGGATCATAGGGGTAGAAGCAGCGGGATTTGACCAAGCCAAAGAGAAAGTGGAGAAAGTTGGGTAGGGCTGTTGTAAATTGCCTATCTACATGCGGGGGTGGGGCCTGAAACACTTTGAAGCAGAGATCACCCTTGTTGAGTCTGTTGTTGGTTGGTGATATCACATCCGTGTACTGTAGATGTCCGGTTGGGAGCAGATAACTAATTGAACATCATTACCCTCTGGTAATTTAACATAGCTATTGAAAATGACCATTTATAGTGAGTTTTCCCATTAAACATGGTGATTTTCCATAGTTATATTAGTTCACCAGAGGGTACACATAGAATGAAGATTTACCCCTGTTACATGTACAAATCCAAGATCTCACAACATGTTTGTTTAGTTACCCACTACATGTATAGGACAAACATGTTTATATCCGTGTGTATCAGTACCGGTGTATGGGTATGTATATAGTACATTTATATATATATAATACACATATATATATATATATGTACATATAACATATGCATGTGTGTGTTTGTGTTTGTGTGGCTCTGTACCTTTAACATATCCTTCTTAACATATATAGCATATCCTTCATAACAGGCCCTTCCACGCAACATGCGTTGATAGGCTCCTGGCTGGGCAACGGCAAGTGGGGCTGGGTGATGATGGCACCACGACGCCGTGGCAGTGGTCAGGCTCGGCACGCAAGCGTACCGGACTGGAATGTTGTTAGAGTGGCTGCATGTTGTGACTTGACCCACTTGATATTTTTTGTTCCAAATGATGAGTTCAATATATATATATATACCAATCATTGCCAACATCTTCAGAGGATCTTCGTCCACCAATTACATTGAAAGTGAGTGATGAAACACTTCAAAAATTATGCCATGCCGCATCCGTAGCACCCTGCTGCAGGCAGTCTTGAAACTCAGCGATGTCCATCATGCAGACGTCACGGCCAAAGAGTGGGTCTATGGCAGCAAGACACTCGCCGGCAATGGTGCAGCGAACATGGGGCAGACCGGCAGACCCCCAGTTTTCCGGATCTTGGATGAGTACCATCGTGTGACCCGTTTGCAATAGACTCAATAGACATAAGAAGTTCACGAAATAATTAACCCGTTGAAGATAACTTTGATAAAGGTAGGGTACCTAACATTGGCGCCATGACATTTTGTTCATGCAGAATTTGATAACTATAATCAGTGGTTTTGGGGCATACGACATTTATTTTGGCTAATCCACGTGCAAGCACGCAGGTTTCAATTATCTTCAAGCAAAAAAAAGGCCAAACATTCATATAGGATTAGCATGTTTCAAATACGTAGGGATTGGCTGGGAAGTGGGTTCGTTGTGCCTGGAATGTTCCATCACTGATTTTCTCTCAGTCGCAGTGAGTCCTTTCCTTCCATGACATTTCAGTCCTGCCAACTTCTTTGATGAGAGCTTTCAGCCCTTCAAAGCTGTATTCCCTTCAACAGCAACCAGGAACGTAATCCATGATATCCTTCCGATGACCTCCAGATTCGATTTGAGAATTGCTCTCCGGCTCTCACCATCTCCGGTGCAGCTGTGTTGACGTCCTGAGGATGGGCAGAGGACATCGGAACATTGCGCCGAACTGAGGGCATGGGCGGCATGGGTGGTGGATTATGCTGCAGAATTCGGCAGAGTCACATGGGACAGCCCTGAGGTGGAGTACCTCAACGTTTACCTCTACGGTGACGAGAACCAGACCTTCAAAAACCGGCTGCAAGAAGGTTATAGAGAAGGCTTGGTGCGGCTTGGGGGCGGCGGTGGCTGTTGGGAATGATATCATATGTGTCACTTGGAGTAGGATGTATGGAGTAGGACGTATGGATAGAGTACATCGATAAGTAGATATATAGCAGATGATCACAGTAAGTAGAATGTTGGAAATAATGGCTTCAGAAAACAAGGTAGATTCTTGGTAAGTATATGTTTTGTACCTAAATATTCTGATGGAAATGTGGACCTTGGACACCAGTGTAGGCCATTTCAAATATTTCAATGTGCTGGCAACAGGTCTGTAGATGGTGTGTTGCTGAGTGCAGATCATTAATGAGGCAAGCTGAAGTCCGACATTCAGCGGAAGAGCTTCCCCACGCACTACGTGTCTCCTGGCAGCCGGCGGGGACGGCCATGGAGAGTGCAGTGAATGGATACCTTTTGGCATGCCGCTTAGATAAGGATGTTCCACCATCACACTCCATCACATAGAAAAGCAAGCAACAATGCAACAGTCATTGGCCTTTTAAAACCATTTAAAACCCATCCGGTTTGGTGGTATACTTGGGCTGTGGGTGGGTCCAATCAAGCTAATTCATCCTAGCCCTCCGCTACCCTTCGTGGCCAGGGTGTGCCCATTGACATGCAAAATGGACGCAAAGTCGGCATGATCGACCCGAAAAGTAATGGAAACATCTATGGACATGCGAGAAACGCAATCGACCCCCAATCTTCGAAGGTTTGCAGTCACTTCTAAATTCTCCAAGGGTTTACCGCCGCAGATTAAAATCACCTACCACGGTTTCTCCCATATTTGGACCAGACAGCCAGGTGCATGACTATCGAACAGATGAACTGCGGAAGCGTTCAGAACTGGTTGGACAAAGAGATTTTGAGCCCACAAGGGATGCTTGGGCAGCAATATTCCGCACACACACATATATATATATGGAAGAGTTTTACCCGACTGAGATGTTTGCTTTCATATTCTCATAAGTTTATGGCTTTATTATGCGTTATTAGTTTTTATGAGTGCTGATGAATTTCCCGTGCTATCATGCATGAACGGCCCTTTGAACAAAGGTACATTCTGCCACAGGGAAACAACCGATCCATTGCAATGGGATTTGTTTCCGAGCGGTTTCAGCTAGTGCCACATGTTTGTATACCTACTTGGTGGCTCATCCCACTAAGTAAGTGGGTTATAACCCCAGTTATAAATGGGATAAGTAGGGTTAATCCACTTATAACTGGGGTTAGAACTTAGTTATAACCCACTTACTTAGTGGGATGAGCCACCAAGTACACGTGGCTACCATTTTATGGAACTCCCTGGATCCTCCGTTTCTCCCCCACGTTGTCAGAGTCATGTTCTCAGATTTCTCAGGATGATGGTCGTGTTGAAGGAGGTGGCTACAGCTTTGGCCTACATGCATTCGAATGAGATCACCCACAACGACATGAAGTGACTTGGTCCATTGATGTCCATCATGTACCGTACTGCAAAAGTATGTGCACACACATGTATATATATATATATACACATACATATATATAT